CAATCCCCACACCACAAGTAATGATAATAAGTTAATAAAAAGGAGAGGAGGCTGGGGTGTAGCTCAGTGGTAGGTAGGGTACCCCTGGGTTCAATCCCTAACCCCTAAATTTGTGACAGAGAGAGAGAGAGATGGAGATTGATTTGGTACAGAATGATTGAGAGAGAAAGAGGCCTGAGAGATGAGGGAAGACTGGGACATGATCACACCGTTGAAGAGCTCCTGCCTTTGGGTAAACTGCTTCCTATCCAGCCTCAGTCTCCCCATCTATAAAATGGGCTGATCAGCGCTCCCCGATCTGTGTGCTGTGGTCAGGTCAGTGGTCATCCAGGCGGCCCAGAGGCTGTTGCTTTGTCTTCCCTGTTCCACTCCCAATCACTGAGCACTGACCACGTGCCCAGCACAGTGCAGGATGCATCAAGGGACAAAGAGGACAGCATCCTGCCCCTGGGAGCTGCCTTTTCTATATTATGGTCCTTGTTACTTTTGTCCTGTTACCGAGCCATAAAAACTGGGGTCTCCTGGAGCTGGGGCAGGAGGCTCCAGGCTGAGAAGGAGGAGCCTGAGACCAGCATTATGCAAGAACAGCACAGGGGTCCTGACTCCCGGGAAGAGGGGAACGGCCTGCCCCCTGCTGAAGCCCCAGTTGGTTTGCCTGCCTAGGGTCCCGTTTCTGCTGTCCCTGGCGGAGTGGTAAAGATCCCAGCCCCTGCTAGCACAGGACGGGGCGGAACAGCAGGACCCCTCTCTCCTTCCTTGCCAGGAGAGGAGGGTAGACTCTCCAGGCTCAGTGGATCCCCAATTCACAGCCCAGAGGTGGTGGCCCCAGGCACGTCTCTGCCCATCAGAGTCTCGGAATTCCCAGGCCATCGCTCGCATTCAGAAATTCGATATATCCACTGGCTTTCTCCATGACCAAAGGATCTGGGGGTTCAAGGACAACCTCAGGGTTCCTCGGATAGTCCTAGGACTTCTGCATCTGACTATCTGAGACTCTGGAAACATGCGTGGAGTCCCAGGGCCCTGCTGGACACTGGGAGGTCTGGTCAGCCTCCTGAGGATCACAAGTTCAAGATCAGCCTCAGCGAGTTGCTGGAATTATAGGCATGTGCTGCCACAATCAGCCTTCCCAGTCAATCCTAGGACTTTCTGGGTTTAGGACTTCAGGCCTTCTGGGAGTCTGGGTGCCCTGGGAATTGTGGGGTCACTGGTCTTGTTCCTAGTCTTCTGGGAACTGGGGATTTCCTGGGCATCAGGAATAATCTGGCCATCAGCAAAGGGCTCTTTGGCAGCTCCCAGGAGCATGGGAAATGAGGAGACCTTGAGCCTAGTGCCCAGGGCTCCCATAAACTTCTGGGTGCATCTGGAATCTGAAATCCAAGGCCATTAGTCCACCAGCCCTCCCTCTGCTTGGGTTTGGCCTTTGGCCTTGGACTCCAGACTAGGAATCTGCCTGCTCTGCCCCAGCTCCTGGAGTTAAGCCCTGAGGACAAGACTTTGGCGCCAGTGGGAGCCCAGGAAAGGGGAAACTCCTCTGATCCTGTTAGAACCGACTTGAGTCTCGTTTTTCCTAGAGGGGAACCTGATGCTCAGCGGGTGAGCGATTTCTCAGAGTCACTCAGAGAGTGTAGACCCAGGGCCTGATCCCGTTGTCGGTCTCCAGAATCTAACCCCAACTCTTGCCCCGAAAACGGGGTGATTGGAGACTTGAAGTATCACCACTTCGCCCCCGAGACCCCTGTCCCAGAGGAGCGCGTGCGTGAGCCTGCAGGAGCCGGCGGTGCCCTGCGGCTTGGGTCGGTGAAGGTCTCCCGAGCAGAACCCAAGAGCCTGCGGGGCTGCGGCGAGGCCGGGCGGAAGGATCCACTTAATAGAGATGAAGACACTGAGGTTCAGAGAGGTGAAGACAGCGACTCAGGGATCCCAGCGAATCCGTGGCCACGCGGGATTCGCACCTGCGCCCGTCGGGCAATTCCTGCCGGGGGACAGGAGGGTCTTGATTTCCTGGGCATCAGGAATAATCTTGGAAGGGGTGGCTCTGTGGCCCCCGGGACCCTGAAAATGGCGCAGGCGGGCGGAGCTGGGAATTCTGAAGGATGTCACCGGGTCGGGCGGCATCCAGCATCCAGACAGGTCCCAGCCTGCGCATCCTCCAGGCAGACGCGACGCCCCGCGGAGCCAAGAGGGACGGGAAAGGCCGGCTTGGGGACCCGCAGCCCATCAGCACACGCCCTGCCCTCCAACCCAGCGGACCCTTTCCCGAGACTGTGGTGGGGGGAACGACCACCTGGGGTGACTTAGGGCGGGCTGGGAGAGGCGGCACCGCCTGGCGCCCGGTCGCTGCACGCTGGGCGTGGTGGCCGGGGTGGAGGAGGCTGCGAGCTGGGTCTGGCAGCCACGTTTCAGGAATATTTGTCCTGAGCCGTGCCTTGGAGGGAGGTGCCCTGGGCTTTGTGCCCAGATTCCCGGCGGGGCGGGGCCGAGCCCCCTGGCAATCGTCAGTGACCTTGCCGCACTGACCCCAGCGGGTGGGGGACAGGCCAGCGGTTCCTGGCTTAGCCCGAATCTGATTGTGGCGTCCTTGGGGACAAGCGGTCCCAAGGACAAGCGGTGGATCCTGGCTCCACCTGCAACCTTCCCTTCGGGCTGGGCTGTGTCCCCACCCAGGAGCCTGGGCCCTGCTGAGACTCACAGCAGGAGACCCGGAAAGTCTGCCCCCAGTGCTTCTGTGCTGGTGTTAAAAGTTAACTTTTATTTGGCTGTGACAAGCACACCTCGGGGTCTATAGCACTGGGAAATTGCATCCTAAAAATGACCTTGTGACACAGTCCACATACAATAAAAGTCATCCTTTCTAGGTTCAGTTCCACGCATTTGGTAAACACAGCTGTGTGCTGCGCTCACACCGCACCCACACCTGGCATCTCCCTTTCAGACCACAGGCTCATAGCGCCTGACAGTTTCTAATCAGTTCTGCATCTGTCTTCACAAACTAGTTCTTCCTGCTCTAAAACTAATTCTAAACTAAGTCTTCCTGCTCTAAAATTTAGAATTGTGGGCATGTGTGCCTATAATCACAGGAGACTGAGGCAAGAGGACCCCAAGTTAAAGGCGAGCCGGGGAACTTAGCAAGACCCTGTCTCAAAACAAAAAGGACCAAGGATGGAGGTTCAGCGGTTGAATTCCTCAGAAAAAAAAAAAAAAAAAAAGTCTGATACAGTCTGGGGCCTTCCCTTTCTTTCTAGTACATATTTAAAGCTGTAAATTTTCCTCTGAAGACTGCTTTGGCTGAATTCTATTTGCTTTTTTTATTTTAGCTTTAAAATTTTATTGAAATTCAGGTTTAGAATTTAACAACTTAAGGGCTGGGTTGTGGCTCAGTGGTAGTGTACTTTCCTAGCATGTGTGAGACACTGGGTTCAATCCTCAGCACCACATATAAATAAATAAAATAAAGGTCCACAAACAACTGTATAACACACACACACACACATTAATTTAACGACAATACAGTATTATTTTGAATATATTCTAGGTAGTATTTTCACTTTCTTTACATGATTTCTGGCTAAACATTTTTGAAAAATACTTTTGATTGTAGATGGGCACACTACCTTTATTTTATTTTTTATGTGGTACTAAGGATCAAACCCAGTGCCTCACACATGTGAGGCAAGTGCTCTACCACTGAGCTACAGCCCCAGTCCAGTGGTTATAACTTTTAAGAACTTATACTTTCTAATTTTTCATGAGATGCCAATTACATACTTGTTAAAATCTTGGATATTTTTCCAATTGTTCTTATCTCAGTGTCAAAAGTTTAAAAAGTAGTGGGGCGTGGAACTCCAGGCTGTAATCCCAGTGACTCAGAAGGCTACGACAGGAAGATCTCAAGTTCAAAGTCAGCCTCAGAAATTTAGTGAGGCCCTGTCTCAAAATTAAAAAAAAATTTAAAAAGGTCTGGGGATATGACTCAGTGGTAAAGCACTTCCGGATTCAATCCTCAGTATTTAAAAAAGTTTCATTTTATTTATTTATTTATTTTCTCTCTCTCCCTCTCGCTTTCTGGCACTGCTGGGGATTGAACCTGGGGCCTCATGCAGGCAGTCTACCATAGAGTTATATGCCCAACCTCATAATAATTTCCTTCGTGGCAAAATTAATATACTATCAAAATGCACAAATCTAGGCTGGGGTTGTGGCTCGAGTGCTTCTCTCACATGCATGAGGCCCTGGGTTCGATCCTCAGCACCTCATTAAAAAATAAAAATAAAGATATTGTGTCCATCTACAACAAAAAAAACAATTAAAATAACTCTTTAAAAAATGCACGAATCTTCAGCGTACCTTCAGCGAGTTCTGGAAAATGTGTAAAACTTTGGAATCCAGGGCATGGAATGCCCCATCACCCAGGAAGTCGCCTCAGACACGCAGCAGTCTCCACGTAGTTGGAGTCACCCTAACCTGCAGAACGTCTCCCTCCCCTCCCGATCCCCTCCTTCCTGGCTCCTCTCCTGCCCCATACCTGTTTCTCCCCCAGGTCCCTGTCTCAGAGGTGGATCCTGATTTCCACTCAAGTCCCCTGACCTGTCACCCACCCACCCTTCACGCCTCCCCATGGTCTGGTTCTGTTCCAGCCCTGATGTCCCCTTCCCAGGTCCCTGCCTGCGTTCCCACTGGGTTCCTGAGAACCTGAACTCCAAGAGACAGCTAGGGGGATCCCTCTAAAGACCCCGTCTGGGCAGGGTGTGGTGGCACATGCCAGTAATCCCAGCAGCTCCAGGGGTGGGGGTGGGAGGGGATGCTAAGGGAGGAGGATCAGCAGGTTCAAAGCCAGCCTCAGCCACCAAATCCCCAGAAACAGAGAGAGAGAACACACTGCTGCCAACACCTTGAGAGAAAGAATGGGTGACAGGTAGATGGGCGGTGGCCCGCCAGGCGGTCAGTTGGGGAGAGCTGAGGGAGGCGATGGAGCCACACAGAAGACACCCTCAGAGATTTTATTAGGGGTTAGGAAGGTGTCCTGGGGAATCCTTCTGTCTTTCCAGGAGTTTCGCCAAGAGCAGATCAGACCTGAACGTAGGACAGGGTGACGTCGCCATTGATCTCCAGCGTGTCCACTGTCTGGAAGGCGGGGAGGCGGTGGGAGTAGTCAAAGAGGTGCTGGCCGTTGTTGTAGACCTTGAAGCGATCCGTGCCACAGCGAATGGACAGCTGTGGGCAAGGGGCAGGCATGAGGCCAGGGCAGGGCAGAGGCTCTGCCAGCAAGTGGGGAAGGGGACCCCAGACTTTTTTTTTTTTTGTACTGTGGATTGAACCCAGGGGCACTTAACCTCCGAGCCACATCCCCAGCCCTTTTTATTTTTATTTATTTATTTTTCTGAGACAGGGTCTTGCTCAGTTGCTTAGGGCCTGGCTAAATTGCTGAGTCTGTCTTCAAACACTTGGTCCTCCTGCCTCCGCCTCCCGAGCTGCCAGCAAGACCCCAGACTCACATCAAAGAACTGGCCAGGGCCAAACGGGTTGTGGGCGATCTTCCTCTCCTCAGAGCCCCAGGAGCCTCTCACACAGGTGTTCCGGACCACGGCGCCCTCACCCATGCGGGGGTTAATGTGCAGAGCCAGGTCCCCCGAGGACCCCACCTTGAAGTTAATGGCAAAGCTGAGGACAGAGAAGGAGTGTCAGATGGGTCTCCAAGGAGGAGGAATGGGTGCCTGGACTCCTGGGTCCCCGAGGGAGGAGGGCTGGGGTCCCCCTGGACCTAGGCTCTGTACCTCTTGGCCGTGGGGAGTACGTAGCCCTTGATTATGATGGTTCTCCGGGCCGTCAGCCCCCCATGCAGCTTCGTTGTGAATGGCACAGGCTGTGGGAGGAGAGATGGGTCCCGTCCACACACAAGTCCCCAAAAGCCAGGTCCAAAGACACGTTTTCAGAGTGCAGCCCTCTTTGTTCTTGGGAGATGTCCCCAAGCAGGTTCCTGCACCCCCTCCCACCTCCAGTCTCAAGCACCCTCCACCCACCACAGAGCTGACCTCCGAGGCCCCCCACGGGTCAGCCCCTCCCCCCACCAGTCCCCCCCCTCCCCCAGCCCACCCGAGCCCCAAGCCCCTCAGGGTGCCATACCGGGTTGAAGGTAGGGGGTCCCATCATGGTCTGTGAATGTGAGGAGGCAGCCATGTTATTCCATGATAGTTGACAAATGCCAGGACACCCCGCTGTGCACACATCCTTCTCCACCCTGGGTTAGTGGGACTGGCCACAGCCCCCCCAGTGCGCCCCCACTGTCCCCATCCCTCTGACGGTCCCACAGCCCGGTACTCACAGGCAGGCTGCCCAGGTGGTGATGATTGGGCCCGGGACCCTGCAGGGATGGGTGGGGGGGTAAGGGACCCCGGTCCTTCAGCCACCCAGACACCTCCCTGGCTGCTCCTCTTCCGCCCCGGGGAGCCCTGGCCCCAGCAAGTACTTACATATTGAGGTGGCAGGCCCATGGGTCCCTGTGGGTGCAGAGAGAGGAAGAGGAGATGATCAGGACCCCAAATCCAGGACAGAAGTTATCAAGGGCGCCTGCCCCGGGGCAGCCAAGGCCACCATGCAGGGGTCTCTGAAGTTCAAGGTCGGCCCCAGATGACTGCCCCTGGGAGGAACTCGCCAAGTTCAGGGCCCGTTTCCCCTGAGCCTCCCCCAGACCTTCAGGACCACGGCTGAGGACTCTGCTCCCTGCTTGCTGCCCAGGGTCCTCGGTCCCCAGTCCTGCCCTCTCAGCCCAGAGGCCGGATCTCACAGCCCAAGCACCTCGGGACCCCTGCCCCGGCCTCTCGAGCCACCCCATCACCCCATCTCCAGCCGCCATGGCCCCTCATCCACGTGCCCAGCCCTGGGCAGGCGGGGCCCTCGGGGGCCCCCGGAGCTCCCTGTCCCCCAGGCCAGGAGACCCCTCTGCCTCGACCGCCTTCCCCCCTCCCTCCTTGGTTTCCTCCCCCTTCTCTCTCATTGCCTCCTTTCTGCCTCGACCTCTGGTTGCAGCCCCTGTTCTGAAGCCTTTTAAAAATGGCCGCGCAGCTGTTTTCCTGTTGAAAACGAATCGGTGCTGCCCCGGGGAGAGGCACAGGAGGCAGGAGAGCCCCCGCAGGCCCTGCGCCTGTCACCCGCTCTGTGACCCTGGGCCCGTTTCTAAAGCTCTCTGGGCCTCAGTTCCGCATCTCACCACCATGGGTCACTGGGAGGATTAAAGGGATGTGGCAGTGGCAGTGTGCCCTCCCCACCCTGTCCCTGGCCTCCTCATGGGTGACACAACCCAAAGTGAGATCAACAGTGAGTTCCTTCTTCCTGTGATTTGATCCTACATCTCTTGAGACCCCTGGAAACAAAATGTGCTTTTTCAACTGTTAAAAAAAAAAAAAAAAAAAAAGTTTCTTTTTTCTTTCTTTCTTTTTTTTTTTTTTTTTTTGGCACTGGGAATGGAACCCAGGGTGCTTAACCACTGAGCCACATCCCCAGCCCTTTTTATTTTCTATTTTGAGATGGGATCTCACTAAGTTGCTTAGGGCCTCTCTAAATTGCTGAGGCTGGCCTTAAACTTGCAATCCTCCTGCCTCGGCCTCCTGAGCTGCTTGTGCCACCATGCCCTTCTTCTGTGGCTGCCTGTGTGGTTTTGGACTCCATATTGGACGAGGAGAGCCCCTGCTGCCGTGTGCAGCTGTTAACCTTCCTCCCGTCTCTGGGTGATGGACCCTTGTGTACCCAGTCACCTGTTGGGGAACACGTGGGCAGCTCTGACTCTGGGGCTTGTTTCTTTTGAGGGTGCCGGGGATGGAACCCAGGCCTCGCGCTGGCTGGGCAAGCCTCTGCCCCTGAGCTGCCTCCCTAGCCCTGGGTTTTTGTAAATGGCGCTGCCGGGGTGGTGCTGGGGGTGCACAGTGGCCGCCCTTTGCCTACTGTTCACCGAGTGCTGTCCCTCGGCCATCGCAGTGTGGTGTGCCAGCGCTCCGAGGCTCACCAGCTCTTTTCCAAGGACACTGTGTCTGCCGCGCTCCCAGCCACGTGGAAGGGCTGGCTGGGCCACCCGCCTGACCACAGAATGCTCCTGAGGGGCTGACGGGCATGGAATGGCAGCTCCTGGCTTTGATTGAGGTCCCCAGGTGACAAATGGCATTAAGCAACCTGTCGTGAATGTGCTTTCTGTTCACAAATTCTTATCTCACTTGCTGACTCTGTTTACACACCTTCTCCTCCAGGAAGCTGTTTCTTTGTGACCCTGTGACTAAGTCTTTCCTTTTCTCTCTCAATTCCCCTGTGTGTCCTTTGCCCTGGCCCCGTCCCTCTGCCCGCGCCTCCCCACGGGGTCCTGACCACTGGATGACGTCCCTGCCTGGCACAGAGCAGGCGCTTGGGTAATGAAGGACAGTGGGGACAGATTAAGGAAGGAAAGAAGCAAAAAAGGGAGGGGCCAGCACGCACCTGATTTGGGGTGAACTGGCCCTGGCCCCCGAGAAAGTTGATTGACTGAAGATGCAGGTCGCCATTCACCTGCAGGTGGGTGACCATCTGCAGGGGCAGCCGGTGTCCAAATTCGTAGAAGGGGTTTCCATTGACCACCACCTGGAGCGGGGACAAGAGGGGTCAGCACGGGGACCTGGGGCAGGTAGGAGCAGGGAGCGGGAGGCAAGCTGGAGAGCCCGGGCCTCAGGGACCTTGGAGTCCAGGGGTCAGAGATCAAGCTGGGGTCAGAAGTCAGGTCAGGAGGGTCCAGAGAAGAGGGTTTAGCTGGAGATGGAGATCAGGAGAGGACTCGCCCGAGGCCTGGCTTTGGCACCAGATGGGTAGGTTTAAGGTCTAGCTCTGACACGCCCTGGCTGTGTGACCTCTGAGCCTCTGTTTCCCCATCTGTGAATTGGGAACCTGCTCATATCTGAGCTGGTCGGGAGATGCAACCCGACGTGACAGGGTGTGTCGGAGGCAGGTGGAGACCGGGGGTCCGTTGCTCGGTGTAGCTCAGGCGTCCGGTTCCATCATGATGCTAAGTGACAGGCACAGGGCCAGGATCCAGCTCCATGGGACTGGGCACTTCCCACATGCTAAGCCCTGGATGTGGTGACATCCACAAGGGACCTCAACAGCTCAAGGGATCCTTCCCATTGCCCAAAACGAAGGCTATAGGTGTAGAGTGACCAACTGGAACCTGAGCGTGGACAATCCCGGCCCAGATGCCGGGGTTAGGAATTTGGCTCCACGCCTGTAATCCCAGCAGCTTGGGAGGCTGAGGCAGGAGGATCGAAAGTTTGGGGCCAGCCTCAGCGAATCAGCAAGGCCCTGTGCAACTTAGTGTGATCCTGCCTTGAAATGAAAAAAATTAAAAGGGCCAGGGCTGGGGCTGGGGCTCAGTGGTAGAGGCTCGCCTAGCACATGGGAGGCCCTGGGTTCCAGGCTCAGCACCACATAAAATAAATAAATAAAGATATTGGGTCCAACTACAACTAAAAAAATTAATATATTTTTTTAAAAAAGGCTGGGGATGTGGCTCAGTGGTTATGCATTCCTGAGCTCAATCACCAGTACAGGGGGAAAAAAAGAAGAGAAGGAGGGGGAGGAGAAGGAGAGGAAGAAGAAATCTGGTGCTCAGACAAAGAGCCTGGGGCCTGGGGGTCTCCCACCACATCTGGTCCAGGAGAACACGCACAAGGAGTTTGGCCACAACAGAGGACCTGGTCAGAGGGCAGAGGCCAGGGATCCCTGCACAACCATTTGAGGTCACCCACCAGGTGCTCTAAGCCACACAACATGGTGAGTGAGAAAAGAAATGGAAGGCAGTGGCCCAGAGCTGTTGTGTACATACTTTAAATAAAAGACAAGCACACCTGCAATCCCAGCAACGGAGAGGCTGAGGCAGGAGGATCACAAGTTCGAGGCCAGCCTCTTCAACTTTGTGAGGCCCTACGCCGCTTAATGAGGCCCTGTCTCAAAATAAAAGATAAAATAAAAAGGGCTGGGAACGTGGCTCAGTGGTTAAGTGAACTTGGGTTCAATCCCTGATACCAAAACCAAAACAAAACAAAACCACCCCTGTGTGAGACTGATCAGCGGCAGGCACCCACCCTCTTTGGACCTGGATCAGACACATCGGAAAAACAACATTATGTGACGGCTGGAACAGGCAGGTGATATTAAGGAAGAACCTTCCCTTTTTAGGTGTGACAGTGGCCTTGTGTCTGTGCTCTTACAAATGGAGACATTTATGAATGAAATGACATAATGTCTGGGATCTGCTTTTAAATAACAGGGGAGGCGGAGTTGGTGGAAGAGGAGGAGACGCCCTTGCACGGTGTGGGACACACCACTCGGGCTTTCTGTGCCTGGGGCTTCCTTTCGTGTGTGTCCAGAGCACGGAGCAGACAGAGCGAAAGTCTGCATCTGCGAGCACCGGGAGCCCGAGGTGAAGAAGGCCGTCAGCAGCCAAGGGAGGAGAAGGAGGGAAGCGGCAAGAAGAGGTGGAATAGGCAGGAGGAGAAGGAAAGGAAAGGGAAAGGGGGGCAGGAAGGGGGAAGGAAGAGAGGGAAGAAAAGAAAGAAGGGAGAAAGGGAGCCGGGGGCGGTGGCACACGCCTGTAATCCCAGCACCTCGGGAGGCCGAGGCGGGAGGATCGGGATTCAAAGCCAGCCTCAGCAACACAGTGAGGCCCTAAGTAACTCAGGGAGACCCTGTCTCTAAATAAAACATAAAAAAGGGCTGGGGATGTGGCTCAGTGGTGAAGCCTCCTGGGTTCAATTCTGATACCAAATAAATAAAGAAAGAAACGGAAGAAGAAGGAGGCAGGGAGGCAGGGAGGAGGCTGGGAGGGGGGGAGGCCGAGGGAGGCGCCCAGCCAGACCTTGTAGTGTTCCGCCATGATCATGAACACCAGCTCAAAGGGGGCCCCCTTGCTGAAGGGCATGCTCCTCTTCCTCTCCTCTTCGCCCCAGCGGCCACCCTGCTGTGAGTTGAAGACCACCTTGTCCCAGCCATCGAAGCGGGGATTGAAGTGGAAGGCGATGTCCGCCCCCGGGTCCTGCCCCACGGCAAAGTTCACCTGGAACCTGGTGAGACACAAAGGGCTGATTCCCCAGAGGACACCTGCTGCCCGCAGGGACCCCTCCAGGGACCTCTGTCCTCACCCTCTCCCCACATTCTCTGCCCCGGGCACTACTGACCAAGCCAGGAGAGGAGGTTGTGACCTTGAGTTCCAGAGATCGACTCCCACAGCCGCCCCTTGGCTCGCTGCTCCTTTGAGACCACCTTCCCCACCCCTCCCAGTTTCAACTGTTTGCTCTGGGGACTCCTGTGGTCACAGTTGACATCCATTGGTTGGAGTTTCTCTGCTCCTTCCTGGACCCCGACAGTCCTTCCCCACCCATAGCCAGAGAAGCTGGGAATGCCCAGGTCAGGGCACCTTCCACACTGCCCATCACCAACCTTCAGAAGTTATTCCAACAGGGCAGGACCCGGCTGCCACAGGGCCTTTGCACTGGCAGTTCCCTCTCCTCTCTTCCTCCATTCCTCCCTCTCTCTCATCTTGGAGGTGGCAAAAAGCTCCTACAGGTGGGCCGCAGCACCGGCTCCCTTGCAGCCTAGCCTGGTGGGACGAGGTGGGGGTCCACTTACCGCTTCATCTTCTCATCGGCCACTCCTTGGATGTAGATGGACATTCCGATGCTGAGGCCGCCGGGGATGGGCTGGTTGTAGGGCAGAGTCTGGAGAATGGGCCGATGAGGGGCGTCAGAGGCCATGGGACAGTCGCAGCCCTTCCCCCTCACCGAAACCCCTTCTGGTCCCGCAAGCAGGGGACATGAAACTGGAGTGAGGAAATTGGGGGAAGAAGCCCAGAGCCAGCCTGAGCATCATGATGGGGGGCCTGATGGTTGGGGGTCCCCCACGGGTTGGAGTGTGGCTCAGAGAGCAGCTAAGCCAGGGCCTGGGGTGGGGCCTGGCTGGCATCTCACCGGGTTGTAGGTGGGCTGGTAGCCGGGCGCAGGGACAAAGGCCATCTTCAGAGGCTGCGCTGGTGGCTTGTGCTAGAGAGGAGCTAGAGGAGAGAGAAAGTGGCAGGTGGCAGGCAGTGGGTGGCCCTTATAGCAGAGGCAAAGGGAGTGGCAGGCAGGGAGGGCCACGAGGTCCTTCTCCCAGGGATCCCTGAGCACACACTGGCTTTCCTGGTGGACACCCGTCCCCACCTGCCCGGGCACAAAGAGGAAGTGCTCATAGACTTCGGCCTCACCGGGGCCTTATCAGAGCCCATAAAACCCTGCCCAGACTCTGTTGGCAGAGGGAGGGTGGGACCAGGCGGCAGGGCCAGGGCAGGGCGGCAGGAGTGGCCTGGACAGCTGGGCGGTGGGAGCAGCCCGAGCTCCCGACTCTGTGGAAGGGTGGTGGCCCGAGCCCTGGCGCCCAGCAGGTCCCCGCAGTACGCTGCGTCCTGGGGACAGTGGGTGAGAGCCCACTCAGAGCCAGGGGTTCCGGGCCCCGGTCCTGCCTCCGCTACTCCTCGGCTATGCCGTCGCGGGTCCTTACCCCGGATTCGCCCCTTTTCCTGGGGCTAAAACAGAAGTGACAGTAGCAACTTCATAGATCCTTAAAAGGAATCGCTAAACTAATGAATGCCCAGAGCAGGCTTGGCATGCAGAGGGCGCACAATTAATGTTTGGTCTCGACACTCATTCCAGACATAAACCCAGGAGGCTGGGATTATATATGATAAGAAAACCCAGTGCGGGGCTGGGGCTCGGCCGTGGAGCGCCCGCCCAGCCTGTGGGGGCCCTGAGCTCCATCCCCCTATCACCAAAGATCTTTTTGTTTTTTAAACTTTTTTACAAAGAAAATCCAAAGTTTAAAGAAATGAGGCGGCTGGCCCGACCCTGGGCAGCACAGGCCCCAGCCAGATTCCAGCAGGGGGTCCCCTCCGCTGGGGAGTGAAAGGCACAGACAGTGGGCACAGCTCCCAACGGCAGGGAGGAGACCAGGGGTAGGTTCTTGGGGGGATTTCAGGCCCAGGGAACCCCACAACCTCGGCTCCCTCCTCCCGGGACGTCCTGTTGGCCCTGGCCACCCGCAGCTGCTGGTCACCGTTCCCGCGGGCCAGATCCCTAAACCATCTTCATCACCGCCCTCCCTGGAGCCCTGCCACCTGTCCTCTCCCAGTAAAGACACAGGTTCTTTATAATGTTTTATTGTCCAAAGAGCCAAGAGAAGGCCCTGGGCTTGAAATCGGTGTCGCAGGGCGATACACTGAGGGGCACTCGGAGACCGTCTCCATTCCCCTCTGCAGAGAGAAGCCGGACCCCAGGTGCCGCAGGCCGGGGACCCGAGGGCTCTCAGAGTTTGGAGAAGGTGACACTTTTCGCGTCCTTCTTCTCCATCATGGCCTGCACGGACTTGACGATGTCCTGGGTTTGCAGCATGCTCATGTTCCAGGTCGCCTGCACAGAGAGGGCCACCAATCAGAGGACAGGCGAGGCTTGCGCGCACCAATCAGAGGACAGGCGAGGCTTGCGCGCACCAATCAGAGGACAGGCGAGGCTTGCGCGCACCAATCAGAGGACAGGCACGCGCAGCCCGCGCCCCACCGGCTGCCCCGGCCTTACCATGTAGTTGAGGCCCTCGGCCACCGGGCGGTCGCGGGAGTAGAGCAGGTTGATCTTGGTGCTCTGCACGGCCACCGGGCTCTTGCTGGCAATCTCGGCCGCCAGGGCCAAGGCCGAGTCCAGCATGAGCTCCTTGTCCGGGAACACGCGGCTGCGACGAAGGGACAAGAGGGGTAGGGACAGGCAACTGGGGAAAGGCCGATGGGGTGTGGCCCTCACAGAGGACCCCAGTAAAAGGGCCCGAGGACAGGAGGGTGCTGGCCCCCAAAGGAAACAATCCTGCTGAGGACACACAGGGCCAGGCCCGGCGCTCCCGCACCCACCTGACCAGCCCACTGCTCAGGGCCTCGTCGGCCATCATCTTGCGGCAGGTGAAGGCCAGTTCGTTGACCAGGCTGCAAAAGGGAAGCGTGGGTCAGACACGGCTGTCATCTGGGAGATGCCCTGTGGTCCCCTCCCGGGGTCCCCTCACCGCACCCACCTCTGGTTCCCGATGACCTTGGGCAGTCGCTGCAGTGTCCCCACATCGGCAGCCAAGCCCACGTCCACTTCCTGGGGGGCACAGAGGTGTCAGGGTTCATTCTGCCAGGGGTGCCCCCCAGGACACCGCCATCAGGGGCTCCCCCAGGGCACCCAGGCAGGTGCCCTGATCCCCGCCCTCCAGGTCTTCCCTTTGCCACATCTTTCTCCAGAGCGACGCCCTTCCTGACCCCTTTACCACATCAGGGTCTCCATCCCGCCTCCCACCCTCTCCCGCAGGCCCCCAGCAGTGACCCCAGCCTCCCGCCTGTGTCACCTCGTCCCCACACCCCACCTCCCCGGCTCCTGACCTCACCGGGACCGCCTGCCCCTGGCTTCCTCATGGCCCAGCCTGCTTCGGAAGGTTCAGTTTGGACCCTCTTCCCGGAGGCCCTGAGGGCAGGCCCCCTGGCCCCCCCTGGCCCTGTTCTGCTCGGGCTCACGGCCCAGTGGTGTGCAGGACCCCGGAGGCAGGAGCTTAGGGGTGACTCACCTTCACCTGGAATACAGCGTCCTGGGTACAGTAGCGGATGTCACAGGCGGTGATGAGGTCCACACCTGGGGGGGCAGGGAAACTGAACATCACCCTGCAGGTCATGGGGTGGCTTCTGGGGGCATGAGCCAGCCAGCGTGGGCACCCTGGCAGCGGGTGACGGCAGGAGGCCAGGCTCACCTGCTCCGATACAGTTCCCGTGGATGGCAGCGATCACGGGCTTGGGGCACTGGAAGGGAATGGGAGGGTCAGGGTCAGGGTGGGCCACAGAGAGAGGCCACAGAGGATGCCCTCCAGCCCCCAGAGTCACCTTCTCAATGACACTGAAGGTTTCTTGGAATCTGCTGATGAGGTCACGCAGGTACCAGCTGATGCGGGCCACATCGTCCCCTTCGGGCTGCAGGAGGTTTGAAGCCATGTCCATGAGGTCAATACCTGAAGAGGAGGCAGGCGGAGGCTCACCCAGCCCACCAGGACCCACCCACCACCTGGCCGGGGCCAGAACCCAGACACCATGGGTGGGAACCCCCAAATCAGCACAGTACAGAAGGCAAGTCCCACAGACTCCCAGGGGATGGCCTGTGAGCGTGAGCTGAACAAAGACTGCCACCAAGGCACTGCTGAGTCTGTTCAGCCACCCAGTGAGGTGGACCCTAGGACGCACCCAGTTTGCTGGTGGTAAACTGAGGCACAGAGAGGTGGCACACTCACCTAAAGTCCCACCAGCTTGTGAGCAGAACTGAGGTTTTGGTTGTGTGCAGTGGCACACGCCTGTAATCCCAGTGACTCAGGAGGCTGAGGCAGGAGGATCACCAAGTTCACGGCCAGCCTCAGCAGCCAAATGAGGCCCAAGCAACTCAGTGAGACGCTGTCTCAAAATTTTTAAAAGGGGAGAAGCTGGGACGTGGTTCAGTAGTTAAGCACCCCTGAGTTCAACCCCTGGGACCACACAGCTGGCTCCAGAAGACTCATTTCCTTCTTATCCCAGGTGGGCACGGACTCAAGTTTTATGGCAAAATTGAGTCCATGGTGGTGATCTTGCCTCAGAAGGCAAGACCCAGATGGAGCAGATATTATGGCTCCCATTCAAGATAATCCTGAGTTTGACTTGTGTCCCCCCAGCCATCCTCTCTCACTCTACTCCTGGTCCCCCGTTCCCGCCTGTCCTCAGCTGGTCCCCACACACAGCCTGTGAAGCCTGGAGTTAGGTTAGAACCCCCTCTTCTTCCCTTCCATCCCACTTTCTTAGAATAAAACACCAAGTCCTCACCGGGGGTACAGCTAAGTAGTACAGCACCTGACCTGCGCGCTCTAGGCTACGGGTTCCACCCCCAGGACTGCAAAAAACACCTACGGGGGTGCACACCTGTAATCTCAGCAACTCAGGAGGCTGAGGCAGGAGAGCTGCAAGTTCAAGGCCAGCCTCAGCAACTTAGTGAGACCCTACCTCAAAATAAAAAGTAAAAAGGACTGGAAATGTGGTTCAGTGGTTAAGCACCTCTGGGTAAAGAAGGGGTTCAGTGGGCAAGCACCCTGCACCCAAAATAACAACAATAAAGCCTTCTGAAGGCAGATGGGGCTACAAGGTTGTGGAGATGGAGCCCCAGAGGCCCGAGCGGAAGCTGGACGGCAGCGGCGTCAGTCACCACTGCTGTGTGCTCCGTTTCAGCAGAGGTCACAGCATCTGACCAGCTGGCGACTCTGGGCTCCCACACGACATCTGAGGAGCCTGAATGACTCATCAAGAGCTAGGACAAGCCCAGTATGACGGCCTCTTGCGACACCACCTTCCACTGTGTGTGTGTGCGTGTGTGTGCGTGTGTGAGTGTGACTAGGGACTTTACACAGGGCAATCTTCCACAGAGTGGCAACTCCAACCCTCATTTTTATTTTGAGGCATGGTCATGCTAAGTGGCCAAGGCTGGCCTCAAATGCGCCATCCTCCTGCCTCAGTCTCCCAAGTAGCTGGGACCACAGTTGTGCCCCGCTTCTCCCTAGTTCTTCTGGTTTAACTGCCCTGGACCTGCAGAGGCTGGCGATTGCTACTGCTTGAAATAAAGGGCCCAGGTGTTGGGACCAAGTGTCCCCCTCCAAAGCAAGAACGCTGCAGGTTGGTCGCTGGGAACTTCTAAACATCCTTCATAACCCTGCTGTCACTCACCCCCGTGAAGCCACAGCAATAAACAGGTCGCAGTGTTAATGCTGGGCACATAAGAATGTTCTGCACGTCAACTTCTTTCATTTAATCTTCATAAACCCAGTGAGATTGGTCTGGTGGGATATCCATATTCTTCAGATGAGGAGCCAGCAGCAGAGAAGCGAGGGGACAATGACAAGTGGTAGAAGTGGGGCTGCCTAATGCCAGAGCCTTTTCTTTTTTCTTCTGATTTTAGGGATGGAACCC